GTTCTCCGCGGAACCACATAATCTACACCTGCAGTCGCAGTTGAGATGGAAGCATGAACGCTTATAGCACCAAAGCGAGTGGAAAGCTGTGCCTAACCATCTCCCCCATACCTTCCTGTGAGACCCCGTTAGTTCCACTGAAGGGGAACGGCACCGAACTGGAGAGGTAATAGAAGCGGAAGGGGCTCCTTCGCAAAAATGTGCCTTTATCAATGGCCCCGCAGCAAGCCATCCAGAGGCTTTTATAATATGGATGAATGAGGCGAATTTTGAGATACCCCACCAAAATTTAAGCAAGCGGCATTGAACTGTCGTTAGAAAGTCGAAATCCTCCGCGGTAAGTCTGTTAACGAGCGCGGAGATACCGTATGTGGCAGAAGGTATGACTACCGAGAGAAACAGACGTTCCAGAGATTCTAATGTCATGCGAGCTAGAGGCATATTGATGGCTAATCTCGCGCAAGCGGAAATTCCCTTCTTTTTTAAATGGTCAATGTGTCCACTAACTCCACCCTTTGTCATCAGGACAACACCTAGTTATGTGAAGCTCGAAACAAACTCAATCTGATTTCTATTATACAATATAACATCGTCCTTACGCAGTCGCCCGCCTCTTCTAAATTTAACAATTATAGTCTTATCCGTATTGACTGTTAGTATGTTTTCTTTACAATAATTAAAAAGCCTATTGAGTGCAGCTTGCAACTCAGGTGACTCATTAGAGCAAATCGCCAGGTCGTCAGCGTACAACAAAGTTGTACAGGAACCATCAGCTTCGATCCATTGTGGCAAATCGGCCGTAAAGAGAACGTATAGTAGAGGCGAGAGGCAGTCACCTTGTGTGAGTCCTTTAGTCTGAGTCATGTTCCTACTTAATGAGCCATTGGACATGATCTCTATGTAGTTAATTGATATAATAGACCAGACTGCTCTTAGCATTTTGTGAGATAAACCCATGTCAGATAGCTTTCGCAGAAGAATTGACCGGTCAATGCAGTCGAAGGCCCTCCTAAAGTCAACAAAGGCTACATATAATGGCAATCTTAGGGAAGCAAGGGCTTCATGGATCTTGGTATGGAGCTCCTCGACTGCACTGCCGGTCGATCTGCCGCTGCGGAAGCCATGCTGCTGGGGAGGCAATATGTCATTATCCTCTGCCCTAGACAAAATCCTTCTATTTAAAATGTAAGTATAGCATTTAAGGGCACATGAAAGTAAAGCAACACCTCTATATGAATCAGGAACTCTAAGAAGGCCTTTACCCTTATAAATCGGGAGTAGGTAGCTACACAGCCAGGGGGTGGGGCAGCACCCATAGGAGAAACAGTAGTTAATTATGTATTGAAAAGGTAAAATTAGTATGTCCTCACAGTTCTTGAAAAGATGATCAAATGATCTTGATACATATCACTATACTACATGTTTTATATTATAATCCTTGCTATTTATCTGTACACTTGAGAATTATACTCATTACATACGCTCTATAGTTTCATTGTTAATCTCTTAATTAGACGCCTATTGATAGAAATAACTATCACCTTTATTGTGTATATGCTTTATGCAATGTAGATCAGTTACGCTGACGAAGTTTTCAGGAGAGGACGAAATATTCGTTTAAATAAAATATATTTATGTTCCGAAATGTCAACATTTTCTTTACAGTAGTTTGTCTCCGGCACACGTACTTTTCTTTATAATACGTGGAACATACGTGCAACACACACATGACTATTATATATATATATATATATATATATATACAAATATATATATACATATATAGGCCTATATACATATATACATATACACATATATATACATATATATACATATATACATCTATATATATATATATATATATATATATCTAGATGTGTTGTATATACAATATATATATATATATATTTATATACACAACAAGAAACAAAACATACGCAAACATTCCATTCTAAATGAGTCTACTTGCTGCAATTTATTAAATAATCTATTTTTTTTTTTTAAAAAAGGTATAGTACCGGTACTTGTTCTACAATAATTATTTTGCCATGGATAATACGTACTGAAAATGGATTGCATTGAATATCATTATTAAAGCCTATGCACTTATTGGTTACATTATAATTTGAATACTCCAGGCAAATCTTCCAGTATTTAAACAAGGAAAGGTATAGACATGTAAGTTGGTGTTAGATAATAACGCAAAAAACATTGTTATTTGATATAAATACTGTTGACCAAAGAATTATCATTTTGCTTTATTAATACTGTAAAGAAATTCCAATTAAATAAAATAATGCTGCGCCATAACAGCTATTATCCACCCAAAGGATACAAAGACATAATATGCTTAATCTCAACAAGCAATGCATCATTGGCATGGACACTCCCCAAAAGTTTTGTTCACCCGCATATCCCTCCCTAATTGAACTACGCGCCTTGAGGTAGGGTCATTGCCTAGTGACCCACATGCACTCCCCTAATGGAACATGCGTTTTGAGGTTCGTTAATCCACTAATGTCCTACCGACCAACATACCCCTCCCTAATTGTCTTGTGGTGAGGTTGAATGTTATTGCTCTAGTGACGCACATATCCCACTCATCAAGATAATACATGAAAATAAATACAAAGTACACTTTAAAAGAATAGAATCATGATATAAAAATATTAATTGACATGGTATACTGTGATAATAATGATGAAGGGGCTGGTAGCAATTATTATAACGAAAACGACAATAATAATGGTGATATGGACGATGATGGTGGTGGTGGTGGCCACGATAATAATAATGGTGGTTGTGATGTCGTCGTCATCATCATCATCATACCATTATCCTAATCACATTTTTATAATAAAATTCGACCAATGGCAACATGTTTTATATTTCTGTCAGGTTTTGTACACAAAGCATATATAAGTGTATTTCATACGGATCACAATAAGATATTTTCATCACCAGATTAATCTGGTGAATCGTAAAGTCTTTCCGGATCAATTGGATGAGCTTCGTCTTTGATCTCAGCATACACGTGTACTATTTCCTTTTCTTGATATTGTTCGTAAGCAGGATTTTTTTCTGCATTCATAAGCATTTGAACGCTTTATGTCATGCCCCCTGAGATCTGATTAACGTATAATGGCGTATTATTGCCTTGAACTTCAATAGTACCTGGATGCGTTTTTTTTCCCTGATGTGTTTTCTTTACATAAATGTTTGCCATTATCCAAACTGATACTGTATATATCACACGGCATAATCTCATCTACACCATTCGTAAGTTCATGTTCCGTTTCTCTCTTAGACTTGCAGCATAATTGATCACGAAACCTTAAAATGAACAACCGGAAAAATAAAATTCGTATTTATTGAAATGCTCTATATTATAGTATCACATATAGTTACCCTCGTTGTGCAAGTCGCTTCCCTCTACCCAGGAGTATAAATGCGTAACAACATACATTGGGAAGGTAAACAGAAAAGTTCATGTGTGGGAGGAGTGGCAACCCCCACACCCCCCCCCCAACCCCAACAGTCTTGCACAGTCTGGCCCAAACGCCGTTAGAAAAAAGATGGGCACTCCGGCCTGTGAGCTCAGAGTTTTAGGTGGGACCTTTTTACTTTCACCATGGAGGAAATATATGCTTTCACATACATTGAATCTGGGATAATATCAAACAAAACAAAAAGTTGTTTATCAACAATACAGTAGTCACTTGGTCCTGTTATATTCAAATACTATATTTTGGCACTGAACAGGGATACGTCTACCTATGTTTATTTTGTTCTTGTTCATTGTAATTCATTCCCTTCTGTTACCAACAAATTAGACAAAGTACATGTGCTGTGATCATTTGTGTTGCAATAGTAATTTCTTTATGAATATATAAATATTATGGTGTATTTCATAAACCGATCGAATGTGGGTATACGTACTTATAGAGTAATATTAGAACTACACTACCAATAACAAACGACAACACAGACGCCAGCATGATCATGAATAAATCTGAAAATAAAAGAAAAAAGTTTTACCAACAAAAAATCACAATAAGCCTACAGAATAATATGTATAATTATGATAACGATGATGATGATAAAGATGTTTATGATGATGATGATGATGATGATGATGATGATGATGATGATGATGATAATGATGATGATGATGATGATGATGAAGATGAAGATGTTGATGATGCTGATGATGATGATGATTCTGATGATGAAAGATTATGATGATGATAAAGATATTGATGATGATGATGACAATAATGGGGACGACGACGACGATGACGACAACGACAACAACAACAACAATAATAATAATAATAATAATAATAATAATAATAATAATAATAATAATAATAATAATAATAATAATAATAATAATAATAGAATTGCGAAGGGAATGAACGTTCCGATTGTAGGAGTAAATGATTCACAACTGAAACCAGTTCTTTCTTTAGGTTCACCGATCACTGTAGCTGATATTATTATTATTATTATTATTATTATTATTATTATTATTAATAATAATAATAATAATAATAATAATAATATTTTAACTGAAATTGCTAATAGAATTTTGAATCAAGTAAAATCCGTCTTTGTTTGGTAGTAGTGGTCTGTTTAAGTATTTTCATGGTTTATTGTTTTGCTTGTATCTAATAGCCTGATTGTTCACATATTTCTTTAAGGTCGTTCCATGTTTTCAAATCGAAATACAGTAGTCTGTTTCCACAAATGTAGCTTCATAGTGCGATGACCCAAAATAAAAGTCTACACAGACTACATAAAAAGAGAATTTGTTATTCAAAATAAAGTGTACTGATTAGTACACAGTCAAAGAAAAAAAACTAACATCTGGAATATGTTTTGATTTGTTAAGCATTATTTACATGGCGCTTTACAAAAATACTCTTCATCATAAACTGTATTTTACTATAACAAGTAAAACACAATTAAAAACGAATTCATATTGCAATTAAGAATTTAACAAAATAAAGCTTATCAATGTGTACTAATTACTTTATATTTGTCATACTATTTTAAAGGCGGTTTTCTTACAACTAAAAATAACTCAAATTATTAAGCTTCATAATGGGAATAACTAAAGCATCACGAACTGTAGTTCAATCTTGTAATTTACAAAAGCAATAATGTGGGATGTAAGAAATAATAAATACAAAACTTTTATTAAAACATACATAATTAATAATGAAAACATCAATGGAAATAACCTGATGAGATATTTCAAATGATGGAAATTTCATATAATCAGAGTCACCATATATGCCTCTGTTTAAGAAATTATACTCGTTTACAAAATAATATAATTACTGCATAGGCTCTCACCCCTAACAAAAATTCTAAATGTATTTTTAATTGTCTTGTGACTGAATTTTCAGCTGATTGCTTCAACATAAATTGTTCAGGTTCATTATTCGATATTGTAGAAGACTCTTTAACTTTACAATAGCAGATTGTACGGTCACATGTAACCGAAACCTACACACCTGTAGTATAGAAATACCTCTCTGGCATAGTTTTAAGCAAATTATATATTTTCATGGTTTGTTGTTTTGCTTGTATCTGTTTATGTGTTGTTCTGTTCTCGCCTCTTATTGATTTGATTGAATTTTGTGTTTTGATTTTTTTCTCCAATTTCTTCTTGGTTTTTATTTTAATTATTCTGGTATTTGTATGAATAACTTATCCTTTTTAATGAAATTCTTCTATTGTTTGAAAGTTATTGCACGCTTACTTCTTTACTTCTATGTTCCTGAGGTTTTCTGAATAAATTGAAATTTATTCGGAAATTTATTTCGTTGTAGCGTCGCGTCGTCCAACAAATTGAACCGCGGTAACGAGATCTTACATGCTTCACATTTATTTTCAATTCAATTCAATACGACCACTGATCTCTACCTGAGAAAACTAGTATAGTTGTCTCAGTCTCTACTATAATACGACCCATGACGTACAGGTTTATTTCCTACCTTTGTTATTTTCTGTGTTAGGTTTCGTAATTGGCTCATCACTAATACCAGTTCTGTCTTTGGTTTCACCATCTACCGTGGCTACTACTGACGTATGCATACGGTAAGTGGAACTTAATGGTATAATACTGCTAGAAAATGACTGCATCGGTGTGCCATCAGTAGTGGTGGATAACTGCGTGGTTGCTGTGAAACGAAAAAAAAGTATGTAATAGTCTTCTGAATGTGTCAGATTTACTTGTGTACACTTTATGTTTTTCAGTGGTTCTAATAATAATTGAAGGTATTGATTGATTACTGCCACTTACTTATTGATTTTTCACAAATATAACCATATTCAGTATTTGCAGTTTGAGACCCTATTAGCGCGATACTCTCAATGTCGTACCATTTGCCAGGTCCGAATTCTTCCAGGGTCGTCATATACACTACTGCAGAGTCATTAACAGGAACATTTGGTTCATTACTGCCCCATAACAACTCCATAGCAGTATCACCGGATTCCCAGTTCCAAGCATTTTGAGGATAAATTCCTATCTGGCGGGATAATCCGATGGCGTAGTTTCCACGTGTGCAATTATCTTGGAGGAAGTTCAAGATTGCATCGTTTTCATCTGAACTGGTTATGCTTACAAGTTGATAGCCTGATTGTTCACATATTTCTTTAAGGTCGTTCCATGTTTTCAAACCGAAATAGTCTGTTTCCACAAATGTGATGACCCAAAATAAAAGTCTACACAAACTAAATAAAAAGAGACTTTGTTATTCAAAATAAATTGTACTGATTAGTACACAGTCAAACAAAAAAAGTAACATCTGAAATATGTTTTGATTGAACTTTTATTAAAATATACATAATTAATAATGAAAACATCAATGGAAATAACCTGATGAGATATTTCAAATGATGGAAATTTCATATAATCAGAGTCACTCTATAAGCCTCTTTAAGAAATTAGACCCGTTTAAAAAATAACAAAATTACTGCATAGGCTCTCACCCCTAACAACAAATTCTAAATGTATTTTTAATTGTCTTGTGACTGAATTTTCAGCTGATTGCTTTAACATAAATTGTTCAGGTTCATTATTCGATATTGTAGAAGACTCTTTAACTTTACAATAGCAGATTGTACGGTCCCACGTAACCCAAACCTACACACCTGTATTGATAGTATCATGAAAATATATTAGTTAAAATATAACTAAAAGTAAATTATATGATTTGCAATCACTGTGACAGATTCGCAAACATTTCCTCTATTCTATTTTCTCTATGGTGAAACGACAATAGTGATCAACAATAAGTAGCCGATGGGGTGATCTACATTCATTTTTGATTCCAGTTAATACACATTATAATGGAAAATCAATTACAGTAGTAATCAAACTTAAAAGCTTACGAGCAAGTTAACAAAATGAAACGAAATACCTTCACAGTAGATGACTGAAAGAAAGCCATGTAATAGACAGATAAAAATAAACATTTTTTTAAACATGACGACGAACATATCCATAGCGAATAGCCAAAACAAGGAAATAAAAATAATTTTCAACATGTATGGGGGCGCTAATCATCTTAGAAATAATAAAATCCATAACAAAATACCTTAAGAGTATCGTACAAATGCTTTCTGTCAGAATGGATACATGTGCCATCGAGTGTCACCCAAAAGTCTGTGCTTGCTGCTTTACTTTTTTAATTTGTATGTCTCTAACTTACCTTATCTCGTTAATTCACAGGTACCCCAATATGCGGATGACACTGTTGCATACAGGGATATTAAAGAAGCTAGGGATGTTCAAATCCTTCAAAATGATATTGATACTATGGTCCAATGGGGTAGGGATAATGGTATGAGTCTCAATCCAGATAAATGTAAAGTGCTCAGCATCACCAGAACCACTGGTGGTGATGACACCCTGTACCAGATTGATGGCAACCGTCTGGATGTTGTTGATAGTGTTAATTGTGTCATCATTTCCAGAGATTTGAAGTGGAGTAAGCACATTGAAATAGTCACCAATTGAGTGTCTTAGGCTAAATGAGTTCATCAGACGTACTGTTGGATCTAAGAATCCCAATGTTTTGATGAAATTATTATTTTTTTTTTAAATTTCTAGACATGTACCGGTACTTGAATACGGCAGCCAAGTTTTGCTCCCTTATCAGCAAAATCTTATTAATAAAATGGAATATGTGCAGCGTTAATTTACGGCAGGTTTTACATATACACGGCACAATGACCCTAACCACTTGTCCTATGATAATCGTCTTTTTCAACTGAAATCATGTACACTAATGAACCGTTTAAAGTATTTACTTACTGTAGGCCTAAACGCTGCAAAGTGCTTATATAATATTTTTGATATCAATAACAGCATAGGCCCCTACTCCCCATAATTAGCAGAAGGAAGGTTAATGCGTGAGGTTCATAAGTGAAGGAGCTAAAAGAGATGCTTATTTTAGTTCTATACCTTTGTTAGATTCCAACGATTATTGAATCAACTTCCAGATACTATCAAGGAACACATGGTTATTGATTTGAACTGTTTCAAAAATGCTCTGAAATCATATCTGTAGACATTGACTACCTTTGAACCTTTTTCGAATCGACCGCCGATTTTTGCCTTATGATTTTAACTTGATGATATGGACTTCATGTATTTTTCTTAGCCCACTATTGGTTGGGACTACCCTCC